CTCCTCCTCCTCCTCCTCCTCCTCCTCCTCCTCCGTAACCATTTTGGCTCAGGCTGTTTTCCCCGCTTTCTCCGCAGCCTTTTCGCCCATGGTCGGCGGCTCGGTGGCCGCGGCGGCAGCGGGCGCGTCTTGGATGGCTGCCGGGGGCTGCCCACCGATGTGGCGGCCAAGTGTTCCCAGGATCATGGAGAAGGACTCCCTCGGCGCTTCCGCGGCGAGGCGTGCTGCACGGCGGCGCGGTCGCGCGGCTCTGGAAGCAGCGTTATGTCCGCTGGTGGCGGCACGCGGCGCTCCGGGCTCGTGGTTGGACCGCGAGCGCGCGTCGAGACCGGCTCTGCAGAGGTTCGCTGCAGGGCATCGCGTCCCGGGTGTAATGCGGCTCAGGCGGAACACGGGCTGGCATGCGCGCCGTGTGCCGCCTGGCGGGTTCACGGCGGCGTCCCCGGCGGCGCTGTCCTGGGCTGCTGCTGGGCCCCGCCTGGGGCACACGGCTGGTGGCATGCGGGCTGAGTCCAAGCCGTTCGTGCCGCGAGATGCTTGCCGCGCAGTGGGCGTGCGTTGCAACTGCGGTTCTACGGAGTTCGCGCCGATCCCGCCCCCCGCCGTGCAGATGCCCAGCGTGACGGAGCCCGTGCATGGCAACGCGATGTGCGAGCGCGTGGGCGTGGATTCGGAGTTGTCGGCCTAGGGCTTTGTGCTGGGCGTTTCCGCCGCGGTGCGGGATGCGGCGTGCGTCGGCAAGGTTGCCGAGGAGTTCGCGGGGGCACAGGTCGTGCAGGCGCCGCATGCAGATGCAGAGGTGCAGACAGACGCTGTGCCGACGCCGTGCGTGACGGAGTCCATGCATGGCGAGAGCGAGGACGCGGACTTGGAGGTGGCTGCCTGCAGCGTGGCGCATCCTGAGCAGTTGCGGAGCTCTGGCGCAGCTGCGGCATGTGGCTACACTTGTGCGCGACACTTGGGGTCGGCCGAGGGTCTTGTGTCGGATGTCTCCTTCGCGGTGCAAGGGAGGGCGTGTGGCGGTGCGGACGCCGAGGAATTCATGGACGCGCAGGTCTCGCAGGCGCACAGCGGGGCGGCAAGGAGGGCGAGGGCGACGGCGTCTCGGAGGCTACGTTGGCCGTTGCTCGTGCCCCTGGCGGTGGGTCGGAGGACGGCTCGCCCGGCGCGTTCCTCTACCTCTGTCTGCCCCGCTCGGCACGAACTCGTTCTCCGCCTCCGTCCGAAGACGTTCCCCAAGCGGACGACCACGAAGTGGTGCGAGCGGTGCCGCTACACCGTGTGCCTCGACTGCGCCGGATGAGTTGGGCATGGGCACTCGCCCTCTCCTGCTGGGTCCGCCTCGTGATCCTGGCGCAGCGCCCCTCGGCGCGGTTCGGGGGGGCTGCCGCGTTCCCCCCTCGGGGTGGGCGGGCGGACGCGGGCGGCTGCTCGGGGTGCCCGTTTGGTCCCCGCGGGGGTGGCTCTCTTTCCCCCTGCCTTGCCCTTAGGGTAGGCCAGGGTCGGTCGGATGCCTGTCTGGGTTTCTTCGGGGCCCCTGCCCTCGTCGCCACGGCGTTGGCGCGGCGCGCTCGCGGCAGCGCGGGGACCATTCGACATCTAGGGCCCTGGCGGTCGTCTGCTTGCAGACGGCTGCCAGGGCCTCTTTGATGATGGTCCATCTATCCATCCATCCATCCATCCATCCATCCATCCATCCATCCATCCATCCTCCTCCTCATCATCATCCTCCTCCGCCCTCCTCCTCCCCCTCCTCTTCATCATCATCATCCTTCTCCTCCTCCTCCTCCTCCTCCTCCTACATTTCCTCCTCCTCCTCATCCTCCTCCTCCTCCTCCTCCTCCTCCTCCTCCTCTTCCTCCTCCTCCTCCTCCTCCTCCTCCAAAGGACCCCATAACCCTAATAGCTCGATGAAGACGTGGCCTCACTGAGTTCCCTGTTTTCACATCAGGGATAACCGATCTGGGCGGCTTGGCCTGGTGCACCAGCAGAAAAATATACACATACCCCGAATGCTTCTGGACCTCCTAACTTGGGTCCCCTCCCAAAGGGTTAGGGGTCCGTTTTTGGTTACTCATCCTGCGCGCCCCGCGCGCGGGGGGAAGGGGCGTAGTGAGGGGGGCCAGCGTCGACCCGAGAAATCAGCGCACTCGTTCGGGATTTTCTAGTCAGCTCCTGCTGATCCTGCCGCCTCTCTTCTTTGTTGTTGTCCGTTCCCTTGCCTGCTCCGCTTCAGGCTTACTGGCAGTTGAAGGTGTATCAGGACTTCACTACCGCGAACAGCGCGGAGTCCCTTTTCGACCCAGAGGGTAACCTCGAGGCGGGAGTGTCCACCGTCGAGTGAGTACTGTTTCAAAAGTGGACGTGGTTTGGATCTGCACTTGTTGGATTCGATTGGATAAGGTCGGATCTCTCTCACTGGAGGGGATTTTTGAAAATAACACACTGGTGCGGCGAATCCCATTTCAGACGTGCAGCTGTTTCAGAACGTTGGCATTGGGCGTGGTCAAGCGTACCGTCCCTCACCGCTGTTTACGTGTATTGTTTATGGTTGATAGCTGTTGGCTTATCAGTGCCATGCATTGTTTTAAATGTTTCCCTTTTTTCAGAATGAATATGTTTGTGCAGTCTAGTATGTTTCGTTTATTTGTCCTGCGTTATGTATTCCTCTCATTCTCTTCACCTGTATACATACACACACGTTAGCCATCAGACCCCAAACAATGTGTTCTAGTACACTATGTGATGCGACATCTGTAGTGTGAGCTATGAGGTGCAGTCTGTGTCAAGACAGCAGCGTATGTAGTGCAATATCTGTGATGCACTACGTATGGTTCAAGCTATGTGGTGCAACATATGTTGTATAACCTAGGTGGTGCAATATATGTTAAACAGTTTGTGTGGTGCAATGCACGTGTTGCACTGTTTGTGGTGAATTTTGGTGCTGTAAACTATATTGTGTAACTTGTGTTAAGCTATCGATGTGGTGATACTTTTCATATACATATATTGGCTGCGAGCTATGCCGTGTAATATAGGTGGTGAAAGTTATGTGTTGTAGTGTACGTGAAGCAATCCATGCAGTACAGGCTACGTGGTGTAATCTTTGTGGTGACAGCTATGTCATGCAATCTATGCGGTGCAGGTGATTTTTTTACCCATGAATTGACACATCCCATGCTCTTGCAAACATCCCACCCACCCACCCGCAACTTGGTTTGCAAAACCCATGCGGTGGCGATTGTGATGCATGCTTGGCGTTGGCTGGTGCATCTCTGCGGCCGCGCCAACCCTGGCACGCGCGCGCAGCGTGCATGGGGCGCGAAATGCGTGGTACGATCCATCTGGCGCAATGCACTTGTGGAACTCGTAGTGGTCAACTGCAGCGCTCCGTGCCCCCACAGGGAGCTCCGCCGAAGGTCCCAGTGGCGGCCCCGCCCCATTGCGGCGCACCCCTCACGCGTTTCGCGGCCCGATAGTGGGTTCCGCGTGCAGCCCCAGTGGCAGCGCCCACATGGCGGGCCCCGCCCCACATCGGCACACCTTTCGCATGCTTCATGGCCCCATGAGGAGATCCCTGGAAGGCGATACCCGCAACGACGGTATTCACAACTGCATATGGCTGGGTCCTCCGCCAAGACAACTGTTGATAGGAATGGTTGGCCTGCGCGCACAAGCGGTATGCCAGCACCCTCGCCATCCCCAAATGCAGAGTGGTCAGGGGACACCCGCCGAGTGGTCGCGGGGCGCCCGCGCATGCTCCTGATTTGTAGGCGAAGTGCATAATGTATTGATTGATAGGGACGGTCGGCTTGCGCGCAATTTGTGCGCAACAAACAGCATGCCGGCCCCCCCGCCGTCCCTGTCAAAACCCATGCGCAGTGGTCGCTGGGTGCCCGCCCCGCGCATGCTCGAGGCTTGGAGGCAGAGTGTATTCTGTGCTGTTTTTTGATGGGGATGGTGGGGGGGGGGGTGGCATGGCCCGGGCTGGCCCGCAGTCGGCTATAGGGGAGGGGGGGTTTAGCAAGCAGGAACAGCGATGGACGTGGGTGTGAGCGCGCTTCCGAGAGGGGCCATGCAGGCATTCAGGCTGCCCGGGACGCCCCCCCGTCACCCCCCCCTCCCGACGGCCTCCGGGGGCCCAGGGGGAGCGCTCCCGACGCTTCCAGAGACGTTCACGGCCGGCCCGAAGTACAAGATCGAGGTCGGTTCGAGGAGGGTACAGTGCCGTTTTTTTATACATGTTCCGCGTGCGGATCATGTATTAAAAATGCAGGGATTTCGTATCAAAAACAACGATGGGTTCATGCATGAATTTATTCGTAATTTAATCATGTATTAAGAGCCCGATATCTTTTAAAGATCCTCTTTATTGAAAAACTGCCTTGTACCCTGGTGTTCTTCGTGCTCGCCGTCTGTTCTCGTGCCTCGTCGGGAAGGGTATGCCCTCGGTGACCTTCTGGTTACGGGGTGTCTGGGCCCGCAGCGCTGTCCCAGCCGCCGCTGCTGTGTTCACCAAGGCTGTGCGGGCGTTGAGCTCAACAAAAAGAAGGGTCTCGTGCTCTCGAAGGGTGTTCTTACGTTCTCGGTCCGGCCGTATGAGCAGCCCCACAGGGCCTCGGGAGGCTCTCCAGGACACCTCCGACGAGCCAAAAGCATGCGAAAGCCAATCTGGAGATCAGTGAGGTGTGAGAGGCTTCTTTCGTGCTCGCCTTTGCGGGCGCGCAGAGGTACAGGGGGAGAGAGAGGGGGAGAGGCGGTACTCGAGCGGCATCGTGTTCTGCAGCCGCCTGGTGCGTGGAGGTTGTCACGCGCCGTGGTTTGATAAAACCACGGCTCTGTTCATCATTGCAGGGACGTTGATCCGTGACCCCATTCCTTTCTGTGCAGTCGAGGCGCTCGCCTTAGAGGCAGCCGCGAACGCTGTGGAGGAGCTCGCTTAAAGGGTAGGCAGCCGGCCATCAGGATTCTGATCTGGGCCCAGGGAAAGAAAGAAGGTGGAACAGGGGGAGGAACAATAGGAGGCGGGGGCGGAGGCGGAGGCGGAGGCGGAGGCGGGGGGGAACGGCGCAGGAGGAGGCACGACTTTGCACGCTCCGTTGTGCGCTCGTGCGTCTCCGCGCGCCTTCGCAGGGGCCTCTGGGTTGACCGCGTTTCGTGCCTCGCGGCCTGTGCCGGGGAGTCGCTCTTCCCCAGTCAGGAGGGAAAAGCAAATAGACAGACACAACGCATCGTCGACTGCCAGGAAGAATGGGAAATATGGACAGTGGACGGAAGATGACAGCCCAGATAATTATGGGAAAGCATGGGGCGGGGCCCAGGGGCACACAAACAAGTGGCACGCGCGCCATGGCTCTACAGAGAGGCAGGGGGATGAGGCGGAAGGGGGCGCGCTGGCTGGTGAATGGGGTGATCGAGGGGGCGCTCGGGATGGGGGTGTCGTGGCGGAGGGGGCGCGCTGGCTGGTGGATGGGGGGATGCGGAGGGGGCGCTCGGGGTGGGCGGGGTGGTGCCGTGCCGGGGTGGATGGGTCAGGGCGGAGGGGGCGGTGCCGCGCGAAAACAAAGGGGTCGGGGCGGAGGGGGCGCGCCGGCTGAAGGGTGGGGGGGATGCGGAGGGGGCGCGCGTGGGGGAGGCGGAGGGGGCGGTCCCGTGCCAAAATAAAGAAGTCGGGGCGGAGGGGCGCGCGTGGCTTGTGAGTGGGTGGGGGGGGGGGGCGGTAATGAAGGGGTCGGGGCGGAGGGGCGCGCTGGCTGGTGGGTGGGGGGATGCGGAGGGGGCGCGCGGGGCGCGCGGGGAGGAGTGGGGGCCGTGCCGAAATAAAGGGGTCCGGGGGCGGAGGGAGTGCGCTGGCTGGTAGGTGGAGGGATGCGGGGGGGGCGGGGGCGTGTGCCGAAATAAAAAAGGTTGTGGCGGAGGGGAGCGCTGGCTGGTGGGTGGGGGGGTGCGGAGGGGGTGTGTCGTGCCGAAATAACGGGGTCGGGGCGGAGGGGTGTGCCGTGCCGAACTAAAAGGGTCGGGGCGGAGGGGCGCGCGGCTGGGTGGGTGGGGGGGAGAGGAGGGGGTGTTGTGCCGTTGCGAAATAACGGGGGTCGGGGCGGAGGGTGTGCAGTGCCGAAATCAAGGTGTCGGGGCTGAGGGAGCGTTGGCTGGGGGCGGGGGGAGGATGCGGAGGGGGATGTGCCGCGCCGAAATAAAAAGGGGGCAGTGCGGAGGGATGGCCGTGCGTGGGGTTTTTTTTAGATAATATATATACTATATATATATGATATATATATTTACATATCTATATATATATATATATAAGGGTCGGGCGGAGGGTGGAGCGCAGCGGGGGGGGGGGCGTCGCCGAAAGAAAGGTGTTGGGGCGGAGGGGGTGCGCTGGCTGGTAGGTAGGGAGATGCAGGGGGGGGCGTGCCGAAATAAAGGGTCGGGGCGAGGGGACGCGCTGGCTGGTGGGCGGGGGGGATGCGGAGGGCGTGTGCCGTGCCGAAATAAAGTGATCGGGGCGAAGGGGTGTGCCGTGCCGAGATACAAAGGGGTCGAGGCGAGGGGCGCGCTGGCTGGGGGGCGGGGGGGGATTCGGAGGGGGTGTGCCGTGCCGAAATATAGAAGTCGGGGCAAAGATATGTGCCGTGCCGAAGCAAAGCTGTCGGGGCTGAGGGCCCGCTGGCTGGTGGGTGGGGGGACGCGGATGGGGTGTGCCGTGCCGAAATAAAGGGATCGGGGCGGAGGGGTGTGCCGTGCAGATATAAAAAATGGGTCCGGGCGGAGGGGGCGCGCGGGATTGTGCCGTGCCGAAATAAATAGGTCGGGGCGGAGGGGGTTGCTGGCTGGTGGGTGGGGATGCACCGGGGGGGAGGCGTGCGAAATAAAAAAGGGTCGTGGCGGGGGGCGCTTGGCTGCGTGGGTGGGGGGTGCGGATGCGGTATGCCAGTGACGAAATAAAAATGGTCGGGGCGGCGGGGGTGTGCCTTGCCGACATAACAAGGAGTCGGGGCGGAGGGGCGCGCTGCTGGTGGGCGGGGGGGGGGCGGAAGGGTGTGCCGTGGCCGAAACAGCGGGGGGGTCGGGGCGGAGGGGTGTGCTGTGCCGTAATAAAGGTGTCGGGGCTGAGGGTCGCGCTGGCTGGTGGGCGGGGGGGGAATGAGGGAGGGTTGTGGAGGGGGTATGCCGTGCTGTGCCGTGCCGAACAAAGGGGTCGGGGGAGGGGTGTGCGTGCGAAATTAAAAAAAGGGTCGGGGCGGAGGGGCGCGCGGGGTGTGTGCCGTGCCGAAATAAAGGTGTCGGGGCGGAGGGGGCGCGCTGGCTGGTGGGTGGGGGGATGCGGGGTGTGTGCAGTGCCGAAAACATGGGTCGGGACGGAAAAACGCGTTGGTTGGTGGGTGGGGGGATGCGGAGACGGCGTGCCGTGCCGAAATAACGGGGTCGGTGCGGAGGGGTGTGCCGTGCCGAAATAAAGGGGTCGGGGCGGAGGGGTGTGCCGTGCCGAAATACAGGGGTCGGGGCGGAGGGGCGCGCTGGCTGGTGGAGTGTGTGGGTGATGGAGGGGGTGCCGTGCCGAAATAAAGTGGTCGGAGCTCTTGACACCCTGTGCAACAGAATAAGCACACACAAACCAAGAGGCCCCTGAGAGACTCTCAAGAGGCCCCAAAGCTGCTTCCCAGAAGCTCCCGGGAGCACTCCGAAGCGACCACCAGAAGCACCCTCGAGGACTCTAGCCCACATCAGCGTCGTCGTCGCCGCCGCCGCCGTCGTCCCCCTTCAGGGTCGGCGGCTCCGGCCGTACGGCCTTCGCAAGCGGCGCGGGAGCGCGAAGCGGGTAGATCGGCGACGTGCCCATTCCACTCGCCCCGGCTCGCTCGCTCGCTCGCCCCTCGCCCGCCTCGGCCTGCCGCCTCTGCCTGGGACGGCGCCTCGACGGAGGTCGAGATCTGTATAGTCTGAGTGTCTGTCCAGCGTTAAGTCGTGCGTGTCCCTCTACAGAAAGAATGTTCAAAGATGGTTTTAAGATAGCTCGGGGACGATGTTCCTAGTAGTCTTAAGTATGTTTGTGCACTGTTTGACTATTTGTTGCTCTGCTTCCAGAATCCGCCTGTAGGGGGTCCAGCGCCGAGGGGCTCGTCTTTCTCGGCGGCGAGCCCAGTGGGGAAGCGAGAAGGGGCGGGCCTTCTCAGAAGGCTCGGAGGTCCCCCGGCCTTCCGAGGAGTCTCCCGAGCCTTCCCTGAAGACAGAGAAAGCTTCTCAGAAGGCGCGGGGGCTTCGGAGAAGCCCCGCCGCCTTCTGAGAAGGCCTCCTCCTTCTCACTTGCCCCCCTCGCTCGCCACCCAGAGGGGCTCTCTGCTGGCGAGCTCGCCCCTCCATCAGCGGGCGCTGTCAGGCGGAGAAGCCTCTCTCCTCCCTCGCCCTCGGCTTGCCGCCTTCTCCTGGCTTGCCTGGGGGTCGGACCTGACGAGTGCTTGTCCAGCGCCGAGGGGCGCTCTTCTCAGGAGCCCGGACAGCTCTGGAAGCCCCCGAGAGCATTCAAGATCGCCCCGAGAGCCTTCCAAGCGACCCCCAAGAGCTCCATGGAAGCACTCGAGATGCCAGAATCATTGAGGAACCCATGGGAAATCAGTGGCTCTCTGTTTTCTCGCACTTCCGCCTCCGACGCGTCCGAGGCCTGAGCAGGCCCCCCAAAGAGAGCTCCAGGAGGCTCCCAGGAGGCGCCCCCGAGCGGCGCGAAGTGGCCCGAGAGGCCTCTCTCGTCCTCTCTCGTCCTCTCTCTCTCTCTCTCTCTCCGCGGGCGCCGCCAGGTGGAAAAGCTGCGGGCGCTGTCGCGCACGTACGCCCAGGCCATCGCCGGGGACCCCGAAGTGATGACCTTCGACGCCGAGACTGCCGCCTTCGAGCTGCGGTTCAATGCCACCGTCGCCTCCGCGCCAACGGAGATCTACCTGAATCGCCAGCTGCACTACCCGCACGGACGCTCGGAGGGGCCGCACAACGCGGAGGTTAGGGAGCGAGGGAGGGACGACGTCGTAGAATCCGAAGGCGAGGGAGCGAGGGGCGGCACAAGACGAAGGCGAGGGAGCGGGGGAGCGGGGGAGCGGACGCTCGGATGGGCCCCCAGGCCGACAGGGTGCACAATACTCGAATAACAAAAGACGGCACGAACATACATTTTCGACGGTCCGCGCGGATTTCTTGGCTCCGCGCTGGGGCCCCCTAGCGGCGCCTCCGGCGCCACCCCTGGCGCGCCCCGCGCGCCAGGGAAGGGTTTCTAGCCCAGATCCCAGAAATCCGCGCGGACCTCCAACGGATTGTTATTATACCGTTGTTTCCTCCAGAAACGAAGGCGAGGGAGGAACGATGTCGTAGATGAGCGGACGCTCGGATGGGCCACCGGGCCGACAGGGCGCTGTGATGCTACAGTCAACCCGTATATACATGTACATAGACAGTTACATTTACATACATATATATATATACATATATATATATATAATATAGACTATTACATAATATATCATATATTATATAGAACATATATATATATATATTATATATAAATATAGATATTTAGATATAGAGTAAGAACGGGCAATTTTCCAAAGGGTACCCTTGCATCCTTGCCTCCTCGGCCAATCCTGGACCGCTTTCGCTGGCCGCGCCCCGCTCGCAAGGTGTAGACATGGCCTTCCAAGGCCCCTGCATCATCCTCACTATACTTATGTCGGGCGTGTCCCCCTATAGGGGGATTTTCGAGGAAAAATAAAAAATACCCAAAAAGTTCAACAAATATACTAAAAATAGTCCCCAGACTATTTTTGGATTATTTCCCAACCATCCTGTGGTGTTGGGTCCTCGTTTTGAAGAGACAGCGCCCCACGTTGACTCCTCCTCCTCGCCCCTCCTCCCCATCATCATCATCATCATCATCATCATCATCATCATCATCATCATCATCATCATCATCATCATCATCATCATCATCATCATCATCATCATCATCATCATCATCATCATCATCATCATCATCATCATCATCATCAGCACCATCACCATCACCATCACCATCACCATCACCATCGACGCCATTATCACAATCGTCCTCCTCCTCCTCCTCATCATCATCAGCAGCATCATCATCATCACCATCACCATCATCATCACCATCGACGCCATCATCACCATCCTCCTCCTCCTCCTCATCATCATCAGCAGCATCATCATCATCAACATCATCATCGTCATCATCATCATCATCATCATCATCATCATCATCATCACCGTCATGATCGTCGTCATCATCACCCATTTCGGTACACACCTCACACGTTTCGTGGCCCCATAGGGAGCTACACCGAAGGCCCCAGTGGGGGTGTTCGCATGCTCCCCCACCCACAGCGTTTCGTGGCCCCATAGGGAGCTCCACCGAAGGCCCCAGTGGGGGTGTTCGCATGCGGTTCCCCCACCCAGGGCAGCGTTTCGTGGCCCCATAGGGAGCTCCACCGAGGGCCCCAGTGGGGGTGTTCGCATGCGGTTCCCCCACCCAGGGCAGCGTTTCGTTGGCCCATAGGGAGCTCCACCGAAGGCCCCAGTGGGGTGCCCCGCATTGCGTCCCGCCACCACCCAAGCACAGCTTTTTCGTGGCCCCATAGGGAGCTCCAACGAAGGTCCAGTCCCAGTGGGGGTGCCCGCGCCCGCATTGCGCCCGCACACCAAGCACAGCGTTTCGCGTGGCCCCATGGGGAGCTCCACCGAAGGCCCCAGTGGGGGTGCCCGCAATGCGTCCGCCACACCCAGCACAGCGTTTCGTGGCCCCATAGGGAGCTCCACCGAAGGCCCCAGTGGGGGTGCCCGCATGCGTCCGCCACACCCAGCACAGCGTTTCGTAGTCCCGTGGGGAGCTCCACCGAAGGCCCCAGTGGGGGTGCCCGCATGCGTCCGCCACACCCAGCACAGCGTTTCGTGGCCCCATAGGAGCTCCACCGAAGGCCCCAGTGGGGGGGTGCCCGCATGCGTCCGCCACACCCAGCACAGCGTTTCGTGGCCCCATAGGGAGCTCCACCGAAGGCCCCAGTGGGGGTGCCCGCATGCGTCCGCCACACCCAGCACAGCGTTTCGTGGTCCCATAGGGGCTCCACCGAAGGCCCCAGTGGGGGTGCCCGCACGCGTCCGCCACACCCATTATGGCGCGCCCCTCACGCGTGTCGTGTCCCACCGATAACGGCACCCACAATGCGTTATTCACAACTGAATATGGTTGGGTCCTTCGCCAGGGTAATTTTTCATCGAAAATCCCCCTGTATGGGGTACAGGCCCGACTTAATCTTATACGGGCTGACTGTAGCTCGAGCGAATTTCGGTTTTGAGCCTCGCGGCAAGAGGCTCTGCGAGCGAGCGCACGGCGGTGCGGGGGCATGGGGTCCACGGGGGGCACCTCGCCCTGCCGGGCCACCCACCTTTTTCAAAGAGGGCGAGGCCTCGATCCTCGAGGAGCGAGGCTTTTTGGCGGGTGGCAAGGGGGGGGGAACAATTAAGCTACACTGATGCAGACCATGTGGTTTGAACCTCCCCCCCCTCCCCCCAAATGCAAGGTTGGTTTCGGATCTTCCGATTTTGGGCCTCCGAGCGGTCTTGCGAAAACCTGTCAACTTTGCATTGCGGGGGAGGGGGGGAGTGCTGCTTAATTGTTTGCTTCAACCGTAATGGGGGGTGACCCGATGACCGCCCGCGCCCGAGGCTTCTCGACCCCCTCTCGCTCGTGGCGGCCGCCCTCATCCCTGAGGTCCGGCGTGAGCCAAAGAGAGCGGGCGACTCGGTCCCTGCCTCAGGGCGGCTCGGTCCTCGAGGATCGACCTCGGTTGCTCGGCACCTTCTCGTTCGTGGCGGCCGCCGTCCCCCGAGGCCCGACGTGGAAACAAGAGTGGGCGAGGGAAAGGAGCCCTCGAGGATCGACTTCGGCTTCTCGACCCCTGTCGTTCCTGGCGGCCGCCCTTCCCCGAGGCCCCCAAAAAAGAGAGCGGGCGAGCGCCTGGAGGGCGAGTGACAGGAGAACGAAACTTGGCATAAACATACAAGCTCGGACCTCCGAGTTTTTACGTTTACGTCATTGCTCGTTCCCCTATGACTGGACGAGTGACTGGAGGACGAGTGACTGGAGGACGAATGACTGGAGGACGAGTGGCTCCTCCTCCTCCTCCCCCTCCTCCTCCTCCTCCTCCTCCTCCTCCTCCTCCTCCTCCTCCTCCTCCTCCAACGTCTGGGTCCCCACGCGCCACGAGCCTGGGCTCGAGCGGCGAAACGGTGCCTCGGCGATCTCGTTGGCCGCTCGTGCTGACCTCCCGCCGCAGCCAGTGGCAGGACGGAGGCGCAGACGAGGGGCCACCGAGCACGAAGCACGAAGGCGAGCACGAGAGCAGCAAGAAAGCACAAGCAGCACGACGACGGAGCGACAACGAGAGGAGAGCGAGGACGTAACGAGCACGAGCACGCAGCACGCAGCACGAGGGCAGGAGCAGCACGAGGACAGGACGCAAACGAGAGGAGAGCGAGAGACACGCGACGAACACGAAAACAGCGCTGTCCAGCTCGAGGCCCCGAAAAAGCGGGCGGCCGCCGCCCGCGCACGGCGGGCTTCCCCCGCGCGCACCGTCGTGCCCGCCGCCGGCCGGCGGCGGCGGCGGCAGCGCCGTGCGCACGGGGCGCCGAAGGGGCCTGCCGTGGTGAGGGCCCGAGCGCAGAATCCGAGAGGAGGAGGAGGAGGAGGAGGAGGAAGAGGAGGGGGAGGAGGAGGAGGGGGAGGGGGAGGAGGGGGAGGAGGCGGAGGAGGCGGCGGAGGAGGAGGAGGGGGAGGAGGAGGAGGAGGAGTGGAACAACGGCGAGGAGGAGGAGGAGGTGCTCCTCATCCTGAGCCGCCGCCGCCGCCGCTGTCGTCGTCGTCGTCGTCGTCGTCGTCGTCGTCGTCGTCGTCGTGGTGAGGGCCCGAGCCCGATCGGGATCGTTTTCTTAGTCGTTGTTTTGCCCATCGGCGCGGGCCCTCGCACCCCCCCTCCCCCCTTCTGGAGTAGTTCTTAGATCTTGGCTGTTTTTGCCGCCTGTCTCAAGCAGGTGGAGACTCCCCTGCAGGACCCACTGTTGCAAACAGTCGCATTAAGCAGAGGTCTGGAGCCAGACCCCCCCCCATTCTCCCTTTCCGCCAAACATCGAAAGGTACATCGAGGAAGAAAAAGTGCTCCGCGCGGGTTTCTTGGGTCCGCGCTAGGGCCTCCTGGCGGCGCCTCCGGCGCGGCCCCTGGCGCGCTCCGCGCGCCAGGGAGGGGGGTCCAGTGCAGGTCCAAGAAATCCGCGCGGAGCGCCAAAAGTTTCAATTTATTAATTTTTGCTTCTTCTAGTGCATTCAACCCGCATAGTAAGGATGAGCTCCAAGGCTATACCCTTGCAGCCTTCCCCTTCGGCCCATCCTTGGCCGCGTACGCTGGCCGCGCCCCGTCCGCAGAGTGTCGGCATGGTTCTCCAGGTCCCTTGCATCCTTACCGCGCACCCTTGCTACACGGGGTGATTGTGAGACTCGAGTACGCCGGAACTCGGCTTTGCCGACTCTTTTGGCGAGCGCGTCCTGGGCTTCGACGGTACAGTTCTCGTCGGACGTTTGCAGCGGGAGCTCGCGTCAAGTTCCAGACTTAGGTCTCGTCATTTTCATGATGGCCTCGTCAGGCCAACCCGAGTCCCCCCCAACCCGAGTCTCACGTCTCCCCGACTGGAGTGAGCAGCACAAGCACCCGCTCCAGGAGGAAGGGGAGGCGGCGAGGGGAGGGAGAGGCAGAGAGACAGCGGAGCAGGAGAGGGGGGGAAGCAGCAGGCGCGCTGCGCCAGAAGTCCATGAGGTTTCTGATTTTCGCCTCGCAGGATGAGGTTATTGCTATTGCTCAGACGCCTCCGGACCTCCTTCCGTCACAAATCACACCCTCCTCCTCCTCCTCCTCCTCCTCCTCCTCCTCCTCCTCCTCCTCCTCCTCCTCCTCCTCCTCCTCCCACTCCTCCTCCTCCTCCTCCTCCTCCTCCTCATCATCATCATCCTCGTCATCATCATCAGACTCACTCATACCAAGACTCACTCATACTCAGACTCATTCACACTCAGACTCACTCGTACTCAGACTCACTCATATTGAGACTCACTCATACTCAGATTCACTTGGGCCACTGCTCACCGGGATCTAGCAGGTGTGGCATTTGGGCACAAGGGGTGGCCGCCGTGGGTGAGGACTCCAGGTTTCGCGCCCAGATTGTGGGGATGTCTCAGGAGGTTCGCGCGTTTGGGTGCCCAACACCCTCTGCTTCCAGAGCAGTCTGCTCACCGCGATACAACATGCGTGGCACTTCGGTCACCCGAATGGGGGCCGCCGTGGGCGAGGACACCCCAGGATTCGTGCCCATCTTGTGGGGATGTCTCAGGCTGTTTGGGCGTTTGGGTGCCCAATATCCTCTGCATCCAGAGCAGACTGCTGACCGCGAAATAGCAGACGTGGCACTTGGGCGGCCCAAGGGGGAGCCGCCAGGGGTGGGGACACCCCAGGATTCGCGCCCAGATAGTGGGGATGTCTCAGGCGGTTTGCCGCTTTGGGTGCCCAAAATCCTTTGCTTTCGGAGCAGATTGTGAGGATGTCTCAGGCAAGGCGCTGGTTTCAGCACTCTCAAGGGGAAGCCGCCAAGGATGGGGGCACTCCAGGATTCGCGCCCAGATTGTGGGGACGTCTCAGGCGGTTTGCAGGTTTTTGGTGCCCGACATCCTCTGCTTTCGGAGCAGATTAAGAGGATTCCTCAGGCGAGGCGCTGGCTTCAGCACTTCAAGGCAAAGCCGCCATGGATGGGGGCACTCCAGGATTCGCGCCCAGATTGTCGGAATGTCTCAGGCGGTGTGCTTGTTTGGTTGCCCATATTTCTTGTTTTCGGAGCAGATTGAGAGGATGTCTCAGGCGAGGCGCTGGTTTCAACACTCCCAAGGGGAAGCCGCCAAGGATGGGGACACTCCAGGATTCGCGCCCAGATTGTGGGGATCTCTCAGGTGGCTTGCTAGTTTCTGCACCCCAAGCTTCTGTTTGAACTCGTGTGCTTCTCACTCACTCACCTTCTCGTCCTCCTCCTCCTCCTCCGCCTCCTCCTCGTCCTCACTCCGACGCACGCATTCAAACTCAGACTTACTCTTCCCCACTCAGGCTCACTCAGCGCATTCAGACTCACCCATACCGAGACTCACCCATACTCAGACCCACTCATATTTGGAGTCAGTCATGTTAAGACTCACTCGAGTTCAAACTCGTTCACACCCAGACTGCGTAACTCACACTCGGACTCACTCAATCTCAGGCTCACCCACCCTCAGGCTCTCTCATGCTCAGACTCAATCGTATTCAGCCTCACTCATTCTCAGACTCATATCCATCATACTCGTACCCAGACCCATTCACACTCAGATTCGCACTTGGACCCGCTCGTACTCCTGCTCGTCAGATTCAGACGCATCTCTCACGCCCAATCTCGCTCACGCTAAGGCTCACACACGGGTGTTTACCGCGATACAGCAGGCGTGGCACCTGGGCACCCCACATGCCAGCGGGCGCCGCGAGTAGCACGCCAGAGAGCGGGCGTAGCAACGCCATGTTCTTCTGCCGGAGTTGCCGCAGTGAGAACGGCAAGAAGAATCCCCTCTCGCTCTTCAATTTGTGTTTCTTTCACTTTTCCTGAGACATGCCCAAAAGAGGAGGAAGTTACTGAAGTCGTCGCGGTCGTCGTCGTCGCTGTCGCGCCCGAGGTCTACACGGACTCGCTCTCACACCCACATGCTCACAGACAGAGTTCCTCAGCGAGACGCGGAGATCTCCCAGTCGACAAGTGCCAGTCTCGTCGGGGACAGTCTGGCGAAGCTCGACCAGCAGAGTCTGGAGTTTGCGCTCGCCCTCAGGGCTGGGGGACTGGCCGTGCTTCTGAACGCAGCAAGCAGTGCAGATGGCTTTAACCTTGATTCTGGTCAGGCCTCGGGGGCCGCGGCGAGAGAGAGAGAGAGAAAGAAAGAAAGAAAGAAAGATATAAAGAGAGAGAGAGAGAGAGAGAGAGAGAGAGAGAGAGCAGCCCGCTTCATGTCCCAGAATGTGTGTGCGAGCTTTTCACACGCACACGAGGAGGAGGAGGAGGAGGAGGAGGAGGAGGAGGGAGGAGGAGGAGGAGGAGGACGAGGAGGAGGAGGAGGAGGCGCGAGCGAGCGAGCGAGCGAGCGGGCAGGAGGAGGGGAGGAGGAGGAGGAGAAGGAGGAGCGAGGAGGAGGAGGGAGGAGGAGGAGGTGAAGGAGGAGGAGGAGGAGGAGGAAGGAGGAGGAGGAGGAGGAGGAGGAGGGGGGAGGGGAGGACGACGACGACGACGACGAGCCGGGGTCCTGCTGTTGCTGGGGCGTTGGGATGGGCCCAGACGCGCACATGGTGCTCGCCCACGGGCTTCGGACATCTGCGCTCGGCCGCAGCCTTGCACGTGTCAGCGTTCTATTAGTTCATGCGCTGGGCCTTTGTCTTACATTTGTTTTGATCCAGGAGGAGCAGGAGGAGGAGGCGGAGGAGGGGGAGGGGGATGATGATGATGATGATGATGGTGATGATGGTGATGATGATGATGATGATGATGATGATGATGATGATGATGAGGATGAGGATGAGGATGAGGATGAGGATGAGGATGAGGATGAGGATGAGGATGAGGATGAGGATGAGGATGAGGATGAGGATGAGGATGAGGATGAGGATGAGGATGAGGATGAGGATGAGGATGAGGATGAGGATGAGGATGAGGATGAGGATGAGGATGAGGATGAGGATGAGGATGAGGATGAGGATGAGGATGAGGATGAGGATGAGGATGAGGATGAGGATGAGGATGAGGATGAGGATGAGGATGAGGATGATGAGGATCAGGATCAGGATCAGGATCAGGATCAGGATCAGGATCAGGATCAGGATGAGGAGGAGGAGGAGGAGGAGGAGGAGGACGAGTTGGAATTTGGCTGGATCTCCAGGCTGTTCTTCAGAGTGAGGGCAGCTGTGTGTTTGAGAGTCTACGCGATGAGTTCGCCTTTGTCTGCAGCGACTTCTCTTCGGTGGCCGGCGCCCCCGCGGAGGAAGAGGAGGCGGAGGAGGAGGCGGAGGAGGCATATAGGGTAAGAGTCTGTTCCGCAAAGTGGATAGCAATCAGAGGGTAATTGCATGGCTCTGGAAGTGCTGCGTGACATGATCAAGAAAGTTGGTGAATCACCGCACTCATGCCCACGCTGCCTGCGCACCAGATCGTCTGGCACGGTAGGAGCCGTCGTAATTATGCCCCCCTTTTACCTTGGCACATATTGACTTGGATGCAAAATAACGCTGTGTTCTGACGTGCGGTAACGCGACACTGGAAGACACATTTCCACCAAGGGAACTGATTCGTCACTGTGGCAACATCTGCCTACTGTAGCTGTTCATGGTTTTCTTCCCGAGTCATTCGCTGGTGTACGACGAGCTGCTTTTTGGATGGCACTTTGGCTCCGCACACAGCCCCCCCGAGGATGTAAACGTAATTACTCCTCTTCAGTGTGGACGGGTTCGATGGCACGGCTAGGGGATGTCCAAGCATGTCCGCCGCGAGCACATTCATGTGCAAGGGGGAGGTCAGCAGCTAGTTGCTGGTGCCATCGCAAACGCCGCACCATTCATTCCAATTTCGACAGGACCATGCGTAGACACCTCCATACCGCAGCATTTCATACTCATGTGCAAGTTCGCACGCCACAGGCGTCTCCTGCACATGTGCACGCCCAGCCCACCCCGCGTACGTAAGCTTGCGCCTGAGTTTCAGCAATACTCAGCACAAAACGAATCAAAGCGGCCTAATAGTTTGTAGTCCCTTGGTAAAGCCAAGGCGCCTCCAGACCCGAGTAAGGTGCGCCTATGACAATACCTTGAAATAGTTCGTGGATAGCATGTGCCGGCAGATGCGCTCGATACCACGGACTTGTGCACCACCCAACGTATACAGTATATGTGTATGTGTATGTATGTGTATGTATGTGTATACCTATGTGTGTATGTGTGTATGTATGTCAATCCACATAGTGTGATCTTCTTTCGACTGATCATGCGCCATGTTGTTTCCCACGTGATCATCGAGATGCAGGCTCGAATTGATGACCTCCACCAGCCCATCCTCCGGCGTGCGAGCAACGGTTGCCTCCTGGATGTTGCGGGCATGCGATGGAGCATCCAATTGCGTTGGTTGTCCAGAGGCGACAACGGGTCCTCACGGCGAAGTGCCTCTCGCCCCCCTCCGCTGGTCAAGCCGCGGGTGGCAGTCGTCCGAAGCAACCGCATCATCCCGCGGTACGCCAGACCGCGGCCGCACACGGAGCGCACAGTCGGAACAGTTCACCGTCATCACACGTCCGTAGAATCCTCCGAACAGATTTGAAGTGTTTGGGACCGGTGCCACAGAATTGGCGTTTGGTCATGTCTTCGCATTCCCAGCGTCAGTCGATGAGTTCGACGCATAGAATTGAGCGCCGTGGGCTGTGTCCCATCGGACCCCAGTCCAGCCTGTGGTCGCTTGACCGAGAAATCGGATCGGAACAGTTGCCTCGACAGCTCAACCAGCGCACACCAGGGATGGCACGGCCTTTGCAAGCGGGACCTGTGAACGTAGTCGTTGGTCTGGTGGGAATCAGAACTGGCTAGCCTTTCTATGATCGACGTGAGTGCCTGGGGCTGCACAGCGTGCACATCATGATCTCGTGCAGACTACCACTCGAGTGCCTCGGCCGTGCATCCTCCCATTGAGCCTGGTTGGGACAGATAGTCGCACCACGCCTCGTAACCTGGTCTTTCACACAAGGAAGCGTCTTAACGCCTCCGCTTGGGACCGAAGGACTTCGCTGTCAGCACCCCAAGCAGCTGGAAATGTATTTACGTGCTCTTCCAGCAGCCATCATTGCCAGTTTTGTGTCACGCACACGTCAAGCGCGTGCCGTGCAGCTGTATAGTTTGACAGAAGATGCCGTATGGTGAGGATGTCTGACGTCTTCTCGCAATCGATCCCCCAATCTTGGACTTTAAATGGTCGGCGTGTGCCAGGATCCCATCTTTGCAGAATGATTCATTTGTTGGCTTTTTGGTTGTCGAAGGGCCGTAGGCGTTATGCTCTGGATTTCTTGCGATACAGCTCTCGCCCCCCGATCACAGCTCTAACCAAAAATTTCCATGTCAAGGATAGATGTTGTCCTTTGGAATGCCATTCAGCATGTGAGCATCGTCTGCTCCACTGAAGTCATGAATTCTTTCCTGCATTGGACAGTCAACACCCTGGACAAGTGCATCAGGATGTGGGAAATCGCTTGGACAGGCGCATGATCTTCATAACTAACATGCTATGAGGAATAGCCCGAACTGTGTACAGGATTCAGACGGAGCCGCGCAGGCGTATGCCAAGCAAGTCTACATGTGGGATGGCCCATTGAGACGTACAGCCCCAAGTCGACAACGATCTCTCTCTCTCTCTCGCAGAAGGACCGTACACGTGTCCCACCTACGTTTGTTTGAGCAGCTTGCAGCGTATATGTGAATATATAGAACATGTCTATATACATGTATGGCAATTCCTGAAGGCTAATGCGGGAACGCACCTCCGCGAGAAGTTGGGCATCTGTACACAAAATGGGCCCCGAAACGCCTCGCAGTCACCACCGAGTCATCCAGCCGTCCGACCTCTGACGTCCCAGATAGTGTGAGCATATATTGACACCGAAAGTTATGCACAACGTTACGTAGTCTGTCTGGGCATTTCAACAACAACAACGGGGCGCGTATTACATATCATTGCACATGACCGCTGTGGGAATCGTGAGCCCGCGGCACATCGCCCAGCTGTAGAATCGTTGTCTTTGCTCCCTTCGTGTGATGTTGTCCCCCGAGCCGTCTCTGCAGTCCGGGTTTTTTTCACTTCTGCTCTGAGGAGCTGGACCCGGCGGTCGGTCTGGCGGCCCTGAGGCCGCCGTCGCCGCCCCGCCGCCGCCCCGCCGCCGCCCGTCGCCTGGGGCCTGGCGGTCGGCCTGGCGGCTCCGTGCTCGCCGCCGCCGCCCCGTCGCCGCTGCGCCGCCCCGCCCGCCGTCCGGGCCCTTGGCGGCGGTCCGGCGGCGGCGTGCTCGCCGTCGACGCCCCGTCGCCGCCGAGACTGCACAACGCAGACTGCACCACATATTTTTCGGAGGTGGGCAGCAGCCCCCAGCAGTGACACGTCGACTCGTGAATGGTCCGCTTTCGGTGCTCGAGGGGGCGCCGAGGCCGTCATCTTCCAGGCCTGCGCCCGCCGGGTTTGGGCCTCAGGTCGTTTTCACTAAACCACGTTTTACTAAAGGGAGGTCTGTCCATCTCCGAATTGTGCACAACGCAGATTGCACCACATCAACGAGATTGCACCACGCCGGTTCTCTTTTCTAAGGGAGTCTTGTGATCCATCTCCCCCCTGGACTTAACCGGTCCTCCTTTTCGTACTGTAATTGGCATGTGATTTTGCCATTGCCCATCCTAAATATGAATTCGTGCCATCCCAGGCAGGCCGGTATCGCCCCGCTTCATGCTCTGCAAGATGTACTTTGCGCGCACATTCGTTTATCAAAGCCATAAGTTTTCACACATCCCTACGAAGTGCACACGCGCGCGTCGTCGCGCGCGCATGCCGAAATCCTTCAACACCCGTGGGCTTGCAACGATTTGTAAATCGAGTGCCCCGAAAACATATAATGAAACATGGTTGCTCAACCAAATCTCCAACATAAAGCTTGCGCCCGCGCTCTTGCGAATTCTTAAGGATGCCTTTTTGTTTTGAAAAAAAAAGGTCCTCGCGCGCGCGCATGTCGGAATCGTTCGAACGCCCTTGCGCACGTGCTGTCGCAAGAGCCACCTGCAACAAAACTGGACGAGGCGCGCACGCTCGCGTCGTCGCGCGCGCACGCTGAAATCCTTCAACAATCTTAGGTTTCGTCAGGATTCCCAAATCGAGGGCCCCGAACACAGATTAGAAACACACGGTTTTGCAAGATCAGTTGAAAAAGCTTGCGCTCGCGCTTTGCTTCTCGCACCGCATGTCGAAATCATTCGAACGCCCTTTCGCGCGTGCTAGGGAGACACGATCCGTGTCAAATAATACCATGCGGGCTTTTATCTCGCGTCGGCGCGCGCATGTCAATTTTTGCTCTAAAGCCTTCATCACCGACGCGAGAACGCTGTCATCGTCGCTGGCGTAATCGGCATCGGCGCCGTCATTGGCCGTGCCGTCGTCGTTGTCATCATCGTGTCTACCGTTGTCCACCATCGTGTCTACCGTTGTCCACTATGCCATGATACTGCGCCCGACCCAGTCGCCGACTCGCACTGAAGTGCCCGATGCGAAGTGCCCAGCGGTCAGCGCCACCGCGGCCGCGTCGGTCGCGCCAATCTACGTAGTTGGCCGCTGCGCGCGCGAGCATGCGCGGGCTAGCGCGGCCGCAGAGATGCAACACCAAGCACTCATCGCAATCACCGCCTCATGGGTTTTGCAAACCAAGCTGCAGGTGGGTGGGTGGGATGATTGCGCGAATAGTGGAGTTGACAATTCATTGTGAACAACAGTTATTTGCATCACGTCAACTGTACCACATGGATTATACCACATAGATGACACCACCGATATTGCGCCACACAGATTCCACCACGTCGATTGCACCATATGTGTTTGCAACATGGATTGCATCAAAGACATTGCACTACGTACACAACATATATTGCACAACCTATACTTGACCACATAGATTGCCCCACGTCGACTGCACCGCACATGTTGCACAACACGTGCTGCTAGAAACACACCGCCTGGGGCCCACGCTGGCCAACACATGACCGTGCAGCTGGATGTTTGCCCACGTGATGGCATCTCCGTGCACGGCTGGATTCCGATCCCACCGCCTCCGCGGCAGGCGGCCCGCACGCGAACCCCATCCCCGTGCCCCCCGGACACGCCAGACGCCCGAGTGTGGTGGCCGCTTCCGCTCCCGTTCCCGTTCCTTTTCCGCCCTCCCGTTGCTAGGGGGCCACACGCGAACCCGAGGGGGAGGGTGGGGTTTTCCCAGCTCTTCTCTCCCCTCCCAGTTTGGGGGGCCACACTCGAACCCTACCCCTACCCCCCAGGATTTCTCGGGGGGAGGGTGGGGTTCACTTCGTCTGGGAGCTCTCGAGCGAAGTGAACCCTATATACAGCTGCTGGGGCTGCAGGAAGGGGCGGCGGGGGGCCCGCGTCCACCGCGCGCTGGCGGCCCGCACGGCCTCGCCCCCGGCGGAGGACACTCGCTGCAGATCGAGCCCGAGGGCTGCTTGCGGCTGGCGAGCGCCGAGGCTCTGCGCCTTCCTCCGCCTCCTCCTCCTCCTCCTCCTCCTCCTCCTCCTCCTCTTCCTCCTCATCCGCTTCCTCCTCCTGTTCGCCTCCTCCTGTTCATCCCCCCCTCTCTTCGGCCTTCCCTCCATCATGAGAAAAGCTCGACCGTTGACGCGCTAAGCATCCTCTTTGTTTTGCGCTCTCCATCTGACGGTCATTTCTGTGTGGGTTGGTAGCGGATGTCCCCCTGGGCGGAATTATGCGTTTCCTATCCTCCTCCTCCTCTTCCTCCTCCTCTTCCTCCTCCTCCTCCTCCTCCTCCTCCTCCTCCTCCTCCTCATGTCTTTCTCCGCCTTCTCCTCATCCTCCGCCTACTTTTCCTGCCTCTTCTTCTCCTTCTTCTCCTCCTCCTCCTCCTCCTCCTCCTCCTCCTCCTCCTCTTCCTCCTCCTCCTCCTCCTCCTTGTGTCCTCCTTATCCTCGTCTTCATACCACCTCATCCCTCCTCCTTCTTCTTCATATCGCTTCATGCCTCCTGGTTCCCCCTCCCTGGCGAGGAAGACAGCCTGGTGCTCCTGATGTTGGACAGCGCGCAGCCCTCCTGCATGCACAGCATGATGAGGCGAGTCGGCCACAGACGGGGCTGAAATAGTAATGAGATGATTCCGTTCTTTCTACTTCCTCCTCTCTCCTCCTCCCTCCTCCTCCTCCTCCCCCTCCTCCTCCTCCTCCTCTCTTCTCCTCCTCCTCCTCCTCCTTCCTCCTCCTCCTCCTCCTCCTCCTCCTCCTCCTCCTCCTCCTCCTCCTCCTCCTCCTCCTCCTCCTCGTCATCGTCCTCTTTAACCTCGTCATCGTCCTCTTTAACCTCGTCATCGGCCGTTTGCCTCTCGAGCGAGGCTCGGGGGACAGGCATCCCTGGGAGCATGCACGGGCGCGCCAACCTGGAAGTGGCAGTGCCATGTTTGAGCGCATTGGCGAACGGCAGCGGGCTCATCGGCCGATCCTCTTTCACTCTCGAGCGAGGCTGGGAGTACGCACGGGTGGCCCACTCTGGAAGTGACGCCGCCACCTGCGAGCGCGTGGTCGAGCAGCACTTGGAGTCGCACTGCCCACCGTGCGCCGCGTGGACGACGCGGTCCGGCCTCGCAAGACGCCGCTGCGGCAGGCTCGCGCACCGTCGAGTATACGACGCGACGCCTCGAGACGATGTTCGTCTGCCTCTTCTGGGCCTCGGGGGGGGGAGCCCGTTCGTGGCCACCCACCAGCCGTGGCTCGCCAGCCGCGGCGCTCGTGCGCACGGCGACGGGCCACCCGGTAGAGCGGATCTGCACCGCGTCCGCGGGGAGCTCCGACGCCTCGGCATCGCTCGGACGTGTGCATGTTTTCTCGGCGGGCAGCGTCGCTCGGACGTGTGCATGTTTTCTCGGCGGGCAGCGTCGAGGATCCTCCCGGACCATCTGGCGAACAACAACAACAACAACAACAACAACAACAACAACAACAACAACAACAACAACAACAACAACAACAACAACAACAACAACAACAACAACAACACACACCAACAACAACAACAACAACAACTACAACTACAACTACAACTACAACTACAACTACAACTACAACTACAACTACAACAACAACAACAGCAGCAGCAGCAACAACAACAACAGCAACAACAACACCAACAACAACAACAGCAACAACAATAGCAACAACACCAACAACAACAACAGCAACAACAACACCAACAACAACAACAGCAACAACAATAGCAACAACACCAACAGCAACAACAGCAACAACAACAGCAACAACAGCAACACACGCAAGAAACCGACAACCACACGGGGCATGGACGTCCGAGCGACGGCAGGCCGACGCCCGGTGCGCCGCCCAGCAGCGGGCGGAGTGGGCGCTCGCCGCGGCGGTCGCCGGCTGTGGCCGGTGGCGCCCAGAGGCGCAGGAGCAAAAAATGAAGGGCGAAGGATTTGTGCCCGAGCGGCGGGTGGAGACCGCGGGAGCTTGCCCATATCGGCCCTCGGAGCCAGAGGTTCGGGGCTGCGGCGTCTTGCTCCCTCGGGCCTGTGCGGGCCCCGAGGGCCTCCCAGCGTTGTGGTTCCGAGAGCGAAGGGTCTTTGCTCCAGACGGAAGCCATACAGTCAAAAACCCTAATAAGGACGCGCGACTTTGCTCAGGGTACCCTTGCGTCACGCGCGTCCTTGCTCTTCCTTGCTCTTGCGTCCTTGAGGTTTTCGTCGCCCGCCGCCCCAAAAATCCCGACTTCGGCTTCCAAGGGTCTTGCGTCCTTACCGCGCGTCCTCATTAGGGTTTTTGGCTGTACACCTTGGAGAGGGCTACTTGAGAGCGATTATTGGAGGGAAGGGGTGGTGACGGCTTGCTGGGACGGGTCGGAAGGGGCGTTGATGGCCTTGGAAGGCGACGATGTGGCGCGGGAGTCGCCACAGTCACCTTGAGCGACGAAGGCTGACAGCTTGGTGCAGTGGTCGGATCACAGGCGTACTTCTGCCTGGGCACGTGCAGAGCGCTCCCCGAGCTGAAACCCCGGTCTTGGGTCTTAGCCTAAAGTCGAATCTGTCCCTCTACAGGGGGGAATATCCAAACATAGTTTTTAAATTAGCCTGGCGAAGGACCCAACCATATGCAGTTGAGGGTACCGCACTTGTGAATATCTTCTTCGGTGGCGCTCCCTATGGGGCCACGAAACGTGTGAGGGGTGTGCCGAAATGGGTGTGCGGGACGCATGCGGACGGCAGCACTGGGGCCTTCGGTGGAGCTCCCTGTGGGGCCACGAAACGTGTGAGGGGTGTGCCGAAATGGGTGTGCGGGACGCATGCGGACGGCAGCCATGGGGCCTTCGGTGGAGCTCCCTATGGGGCCACGAAACGTGTGAGGGGTGTGCCGAAATGGGTGTGCGGGACGCATGCGGACGGCAGCGCTGGGGCCTTCGGTGGAGCTCCCTGTGGGGCCACGAAACGTGTGAGGGGTGTGCCGAAATGGGTGTGCGGGACGCATGCGGACGGCAGCCATGGGGCCTTCGGTGGAGCTCCCTGTGGGGCCACGAAACGTGTGAGGGGTGTGCCGAAATGGGTGTGCGGGAAGCATGCGGACGGCAGCACTGGGGCCTTCGGTGGAGCTCCCTGTGGGGCCACGAAACGGTGGAAACGTGAGGGGGTGTGTGCCGAAAATGGAGCCGGCGGGGACGCAGTGCACGCGACGGCATCAATGGGGAATTCGGTAAGGAGCTCCCTTGGGGCCACGAAACGTGTGAGGGGTGTGCCGAAATGGGTGTGCGGGACGCATGCGGACGGCAGCCATGGGGCATTCGGTGGAGCTCCCTATGGGGCCACGAAAGTGTGAGGGGTGTGCCGAAATGGGTGTGCGGGACGCATGCGGACGGCAGCCATGGGGCCTTCGGTGGAGCTCCCTGTGGGGCCACGAAACGTGTGAGGGGTGTGCCGAAATGGGTGTGCGGGACGCATGCGGACGGCAGCCATGGAGCCTTCGGTGGAGCTCCCTATGGGGCCACGAAACGTGTGAGGGGTGTGCCGAAATGGGTGGTGGGGAGGCATTCGGACCCTGCCACTGGGGCCTTCGGTGGAGCTCCCTTATGGGGCCACGAAA